TTGCGCTGTGTAGTCTGGTCGATGTTAACCAACGTTTCAGAGGTCATACTGCCTCCATCATCAGAGTATGAAGATTTCTGTCTTCTGGGTTGTTGCGCTGTGTAGTCTGGTCGATGTTAACCAACGTTTCGGAGGTCATGCTGCCTCCGCCATCAGGCCACGGCAGATGACAACCATCTTTAAGGTTCAAGATAGTTTACTTTTGTACTGGATGATAATGCGAACTCATGTAATAGTGCAAATTTGCACTCATATTTGAAATGCATTTGATTTATTTTCGTCATTACGAACTCATTTCGCTAATGCAGGGCTTCTCGCTGCAGGCATACCTCATTGCTTACGTGCCATTGTCCAATACTCAGCATCCACGCAATTACTGCCAAGGCCGGTAAATTTCAGTTTTTGTACGACGCACGTCGTACAGTTTACACCACAAAACCAAGAAGGTAAGTTTCAGTAAATGGACTTTTTGTAGGTGCAGTGATTAACTCGTGGATTAGAAGTACATGGTGTTAACAAATGGACACGAACATGTTTTGCAACAAAACATACCAGCACACATCGTTTTGGGAATTGTTATACAACTCCAGTAACAGAGTCTGTTTTGAGAAGCTGATATTTACTAACCCGGTCAATAAACTCTCAACTTTTTAGAGAACACGAGTGTCATTGGGTGTTAATAATAGGCCGCCACTGGACTCCATCATCTCGAGCCAGTTGAATCCTGTCCAGAGACGAGGAAGGTATAAGCATGCGGAAAATCACACTGCATCCACCAGCTTCGAATCCAGGAAATTGATTATGTCTCTTACAATGCAGAGATCTTGATTTTAGTCTACTGTCGTTTGTAATGAAAGGCAGACATACGGCATGGTTACGTCCATTGCGTATTTGCGTGCCCCTTCCCCTCCCGCGATCACTTTCGAAACAGCTGACGTGTTTTAATCAGCTTGGTATTGACATATCACTGCAAGCTGCCCTACCTCTCCTATGATAACGCTGACAATAAAGCGTTTAATGACGCACCAAATATAAAGTTTATAACATTATCTGTCTAGCACATAGTCTAGCTGATTGCCAATTTCGAGACCATTTCGTTTCAAATTTCATTATTGATAAGCAATATTTTATTTTTGATATATGACCATTTTTGGAGTGTGATATTTTATTTGTTATTGTTCATACAGTCTTTATATAGACCATAGGTAAATAACTGCACTAATAGAATATACATATTTGGGCCTGGGAGAGAAGACGATGGGGCATGGAGAAAACTGCATATTAATGAGCTTAAAAATCTGTACTCCTCCCCCAATATTGTCAGGGTGATTAAGTCGAGAAGAATGAGATGGACGGGGCATGTAGCGCGCATGGATGGGACAAGAGATGTGCACTGGGTATTGGTCAGAAAGTCTGAAAGGAAGAGACTGCTGGGGAGACCTAGACATAGATGGGAGGATAATGTCAGGTTGGATCTATAGGAGTTAAAGGCAGTTGGATTTTTCTGGCTCAGGACAAAGATCGATGAAGGGCTTTGGTTAATTCGGTGATGAACCTTCGGGTTCTCTAAGCCATCTAGTTAGTTAGTTATTAATACGTTTTTTTAACAATTCTGTTTAAATCTGCCTTTACTCGTTTACATTTATTAGGAAGTTGTTTGTTTGTTTGGAAAACCCGATGTGTTGAGACTATCTTTCTGTTCTCTTTGTTGCCGTATATAAAGATTGATATGATCTAAAGAATAAACATGTTCATTTCAATCTAATTAGCGTGTCTGGAACCTCGTTGGTCGGTGATCATTTGCTGGTAAGGGATTATGGGCCTTATGGGATAGAATTTATGGCAATGTATGTTTACTGCTTTAGATTTTGACGGGCAATTTACCAGTTGCTGTTAATAAACCTCACACATTAATGTGATCAGATAAAGAATGAAATATCATTAGCTGAATATCAGATTCTCAATAATGACCTTCCACCGTGGTTAGTTGGGGTGTTTTATGGCTACGAAATTACTTGTAATATACAAAAGATATTAACAAACTTTGGTTGGTTTATCTTCTGGTAATTAATCCACTTGAAACACCACGTGTGTCGAATGAAGATTTTTCTCATCAGATCTGCTTACTATCCTGATTGATATTGAAGTTTGGTTACTTTGGGGCTAGGATGTAACACCAATTTGTCACACAGATTGAGGGTTTTACCAGGATGTCTTATTGGAGATGCAAACGAGTTCATCTTGTCTGTATAGAAACAGTAGTGACTTGTTGAGTGAGGTGTACTCGTTGGAAAAGAAGCATATACTCTGGTATGAGAAAGAGAGGCAGGAAAGAGTATTATCGATTTTTCCTCCCACTTTCCTTTCATCCCACGTCTGTCTCTCTTCTCTTTCTGTTCTTAGCATAACGTAAATGCGTACTGTGATAGAGACAGACTTGGGGTGGATTTTGTAGTCTCGGTATCTCCCTACTGCGCATGTCTGTAACAAAGGATCTTTATCCTATTTATAATTGAAATGTTTATTCAGTGATAAATAATTGAATGATAGTTTTTTTTTTCGAGTGGCTGATTCTTTATTGTTCACGATATCTAGAATGTTTATTTTCAGAAATATAGCGAATGATTTTGGGTTTGAGATTCCAATGTCCGTCTAGTGTTATTATTGAACGGCGGCCATGGTGGAAAATACGACGTTTCTGGCGTCTAGCGGGAGATGGCGGGGGAGGTACTAAGAGTGATGGAAACTGACAATTGAAAGCAGGCTCCCCAACACAGTGATGTTTGTAGTATGGTGGCAGAGATCTTGTTTATCGCTAAGAACTCTCACCTAACAAAGAATTGTGCAATTCGAAGAGGATTACAAGCCGGAAGGAATTGTGAAAGAAGATGAACGAATCGCTTGCTGATGATTTATTTAGTGTTGTGCAGCGAGTGATTTGTGTCGTGTTTTGGGTTAGATAGTCAGTTGTTTCGCGATGTCAAATGTAATGGATGCAACGTCGGTGTTAACTGCTGACATTTTTAGTGTCTTTATTTTAATCGCAGTTTAAAACGTACGGATGGATTCTTTGTTTTATTCAGCAGTCATTCGAGAAGATTCTTTTTCTTGTCTGTGCTATAAAGGGCTTGGTGTAGATGTTTAATGTAGTGCAATTTCGCGGTCTCAGTGCCGTTACTGCCACCATCTTATAATGATATTGTGCAAATTTATCGTGAGGTCCGACCCATTTTCGACTCGTATTTGTTCGATGTGTTCTAAGAACCGTGAAAGGTTTTCGTCCGAGAGTCTGCAAACGGTAAAACGACTTTTAAATACCTCTACGTTACTCAAATAATCGCAAAATCGGATGTAAATGAACTCTGCTTCATTTTTGTCGTTTTCAGTGTTTAATTTTAATGATTCACCTCTTGTTTGTTAGTCATGTGACCAGCACAGTGTAATATAATATAGACTTTTGAGTGTAGATGCAATTAATATTGGAAGTTGTATACCGATTTTTCAAATGTATCGAAATTATGCTTAACGGAAGGCCTGAACCCTGTTTTCAAGACCGGTATTTGCAATTACTAATGAAACGTCAAACAGAGAAATATTTTCTTTTTAGAATTTTAAAAGTGTGAGTTTAGTTTCACGGATTCCAATTCTGGCCTACGGACTGTCACTAATTAATTAGTGAAGAAGCCTATAGTGTTTGAACTTGCGACAACATCAGAACGTATTTATTATTACATTACACGAAATGAAAGCAGAGACTGATATTTTATTACAAAGTTAAGGTAATTTTTTTTCAAAGGTGCATTTATTTTTAACAGTTTTAAACCACGTATTTGGAAGTAGGTAATTTCCTTATAGCGGGTTTAATTCTTATTTATTTTCAATGCGCAGTTATAATATTTATTAAATATATGCAGATTATGTATAAATTAACGTTTTAGAAGTAACAAGTAGTGTTGATATAATTGTTTTTAAACCTGTATTATATAAGTAATTTAAATTTAAAAGCTATTATTTGTAACACGTGTGTTTCAGTTCGATTTGAGGAATAATACACGTAATTCAACTGTCGAAACGTCCGATAGCAGCGCGGTAGTAATTGGCGGACATTTAAGTGATCGTTCATACAGTTTATCGTTCTTGGAACATCAGTACTTCGTAGAACAATAAATGCGATTTTTTATTTATGAAATATCTCCTTTAAGAAAGTTGTCGGTGGATACGAATTGTCTGAAACTACATCTCCAGGAAATAGCATTATTATTGATACTATTAATATTGTGAGTGTCTGTGAACCTAGTGGATTACTCCTTACCGATGTGCAATCGAAGGTCAGTCTGCTTAACCGGAACAGCATAGAAGGTAAGAATTATAGACTTTTTATTTTTGTAACTTACATACAGTGGCATAAGGACCATTTTTGTTGGTCCTCCTTTTAGTAACCCCTTGTTCCGTCTCCTTCTCCACCAAAAACATTGCTCTATTTTCTATCTCTCTCTTTCAAATAACCACACCCTATAGTCTAGATGGTTGCTCCGTCCAGGCACGCCCCTTGATCGTCAGCTGTTACGTTTTACGCGGACAGACTCCATGTTGCTGTTCTTGGAGATTATGATGGCGGCGTTGGTTTAAAATTGTGTTGGGGACGTCAGATGGACACTGAGGTTCATCTGAAAAGCGTATGACTATATCTTTGTTACTGTAGATAACGTGCTTTGGAACCTGAAAATTAACTTCTTTACCTGTTAAGCTCTAATATGACTTACATAATCTGGGGGTGTCAAACTGTTGTCTCCGGTTGTTGATGGCACGTCAACTGTAGTTACTTTGCAATAAATTGTTTGCTTGACTGTTCGATTGCCCTCCAGCTGTTATTGTTGCATGCAGCTATTTAATATACCATATAAATCAGCGCCACGGTGGTCTAGCGGTTGGAACGCTGGCCTTGTAATCTTGGGGTCTCGGGTTCGATTCCCGGCGGTGCCCGAATTTATAACTTGTGTTGGGCAAGGCCGTGGTCTAGGCAACACGGAGTTTTCCTCCGTGGCATCCCAACAATTACCCCATTCACACACAGAAGAAGGCAATGGCAAACCACTGCTGGATCATCTGCCAAGAACGTATATGAACAGATCCCAGTCCGAGAAAAGGATGGAAGGATACTGTTCATATGGACCTGTCGTCAGACAGAACACTAAAAAAAAAAATGTTATACCGTCGTTCGACGTCGGAACGTTTTTCTCTGACTTACGCCCTTCTTCCAGTCCATTAATGACCTTTCCTTTTGTTCGCCTTTTTGTGAAAACTTTTATGTCGTCTTGTGCCGAACAGAAATTGTATTTTACGTAACTGTCAGAACTGATGGGTCTGATGCAGTCAGGTCCTTTGTAAAAGCATGATTCCATCTTGTCGACAGTCTGAGGGAAGAATTACTCAACACGTTTTCGGAAAATAAAAACTGAAAACGCCGATGTAAATATTTGGCAATTTGAGAAGATGGCAGGGACAAAGATGGGAAAAGAACAGAATGAGTTTTAAGGATATCCAAAACGGTTATGTTAATTTGGCTCAGAACGAGACAGAGTGTCTGGTAGTTGCTGTCATGACTACTGTGTGCAGAATATAGACGGTGCAGACATTTCAAACTACGAACACGTTTGCTTATGGCGTTTGGTTATCCTGGATGGGGTTCTGTTTTTTTTATGTTACCCCCAGATAATTTCAGGGAAGAATTAGTCGTAGCGTGCAACATCCACACTTCACGCCACTCAGCTGTCGAGACCGTGGCATTCACGTAGGAATTCATAATAGAGGGGATATTTTTTTTTTGCGTAAGAGAGTAACATTTCTTGCGGATCGATTTTTAGGTCATCTGCCCACATACTTGTGAATTTCACAGTAAATATTTAATATTTCTTAAATGCCTTCAAGGCAAATTATTAACTGTCACCATCAGTAATATATATGCACCACAAATTGTTACCTCATTCTATGTGTCACAACAAAATTTCAGCACATTTTCAAATTTTGGAGAGAAAAAAATTCACTTTGAAATTTCATCTGTTTCTTCTTATTCCGTTTTTGTATTTTGTGCAATCTTCATTGTGTTGAGTAGTGCTTTATAACGCCACCAGCTCCTGAAATTGGTGGTGTGCCGTGACGTCACGTCCGGTTCGTGACGATCGAGGTAATTTTCGGTCGCTTGGGGGAATTTCCAGGTCCTTTACGGAATATTCCCGGTTTTTGAAGGGCTCTTCGGGGTTTACATGCAGGTCTAGGTTCACTTCTGGGTTCAAGGTTATTCCTGGATGTGACGTAGACCTGTTTGTGTACCCTGACCAGCCACATTCCATCTAAAGCCCAGCTTTTACCTCCACTTCGCCTACGTCATCATGACGTGGTGTTTAAGCACTTTAACAGTTTTAACTTTTATCTTTAATTTATTTTAAAATCCATAGATGTCAGCTGTTTATTGTGGTTTCATATCAGTGGCGTGTGTTGTTATTCAGATGCAAACTGCGGCCAGTGACGGATGTATTGTACGTCACTCGAGCCAGCTAATAAGCCGATGAATCAGTGTGTGTTTGTGAAAATGGGGTTATTTTCCGTCCGCAGGGTACAGCGAGTTTTTGGCACTGGTCAGGATTTCACAAAAATTTGCAATGTTGTATCTGTCTCGTATGGTTACAGGTTTAGCTTCCGACTGTGAACTCAAACGTAAATATTTTGGAATTTATTCTGTTTTTACAAATGCATTTGTCAAGTGACTTGCTTGTCACTAAGGCATGGCGTGTGCTCAGTCAGTGGATGGAGATGAAAGCGTATAGATATTGAAGGTAGTTGTGAATGTGTAGAAAATCAGTCGCAAACACCCCAAAAAAAGGGGTGGTTTTCCAATTTTGGGGTTGGTGGGATAAATGGAATATATACGAGTAGTTACCACTTGGTTTTGAGGGAATGACAGTGTATGTGCAGATTTGTAATATTTGTAGCTTTTTCTAACCTGGCACACATTTAATTTTTTTATTCCAAAGAAGGGGGCAGTTGAAATCGGGCCTCGAACCCTGGGGAGAGAATGCTAACCCGACGGCTGAACATTTTCTGGTGATGTTTAACCCTTTAAAGCCCCAATGGTAACTCTATATGGCACCTTTTTTAACAACTGGTAACCGTGCATTTTGTACTTTGGGGCTTAATATGATTCTTAGTGTAAACAAGGATTATTTCCCAACATATTTAAGAAGTTGATCTTAGTAATGGAGAAACATCGGTTTTCCTCTGCGTTACCGGCTGAATTATTAAATATTATGCGGATAAGGTTATTTTGTCATCGTAAACGTGTTTGAACCCGAGCTTTTGTTGAGGTATTCGTAAAAAAGAATTTATAAATAATAAATATCTTATAACGTGCATGAAAAACAAATAGATAACAACATATGCTGTAGGAATACCTTTGATATCCATGTACGTTATCGGAAAATGTGATCAATGTACAATATCCCATCGCTCTTTATCAAACTGTGAACTATGTATTACTTTTTCGACCAACAGGGAGCGAATACAGTTCAATTAAAAGTTCCGTCTATAAATTATACGAACGGGTATTGAATTCGGAAGGTCTGGGTTTAAAACCACTTCCGACGGTTTTGAAATTTCCAAGTCATATTTCCACGCTTCGGAGTAGACTACCACGAACTCTGCAGGGAAGGAATTAAAGAAAAATTAATGTGGTCTTATTAGTTGTTGTGTTTTAGAAGGCGTAGATAAAGTTGATTTTCGTGAATCGTGGGGTTAGACCCACTGCACAGGCCCACTGTGCTATCAACCCTGACAGCTTCATCGCGAAGAGACGCGTGCCTCGAAGTTATTTGACCTCTGCGTCCGGTTTAATGTGCGATGCATCCTGCGGCTATTTTGGTTCTGCAGAAAGGAAGTTATCGCTTTGTTTCTTATTATCATCTTATTTCATGTCTAGTCTTGATAAAATTAGGTGCCATTTATGATACGTTATCCGTTAGGTTATTGTCCGGAAAGCCACCGTCTCAACTCTATAGGTCGAGTGTGAACATTTAATTTGGAAGACCGTAGAAGTAAGTTGTCATTTTAACCTTTTTGTGTTACATTTTTTAACATTCACGATCTCAGCATTTTGTACACAGACGGTATTTGTGATTATCAGATTAAAGACAATTTCCTTCAACAATATTAACCAACGATATTCAGACTCAAAATTTGTGTTGACTTTCTGAATATTTTCCCCTCTGCTGTTCGAAAATTGTGGCCCTTCTTCGTGACGTAGTGCGACGTTGCCGTAAAGCGTCTTTTGAGTTGCATAGAACAGTCAAAACTCACACAAAAATCAAGGGACGAGCATTTACAATTTATTCTATTTTTCTCTTCAATCCGAAGGAGATAATAAAACTTTATAGATAAAATTTCTAAATATTTTATCTTGATTGTTCCTGGTATCCGTTCTGACAGGAATCATTACACAAACAATACAGACTTCGATTATGTGTTTATTTAAATCTAGTAGATTTCTGTGACCATGTAACCAAATTATAACTGAATCAGAGCGTGTAAAGTTACATGGTGAATTCAGCCTTGGGCGACAGCGAAAGGCTTAATAAATCATTCTGCCGCACAGAGAATATATAGAGGTCATTACTACTTAAGGAATAGAGGAGCTTTGATACGTAAATATGCGATATATCGCTGGTTGTCGGAAAGAGGACATAGATCCTCTTTGCTTCAGAATAAATTATTTATTTACTCGAGTGAAATGCTCTATGGTTCATCTGCTATCGGAAATGGGAGCACAATAACGTAAATTATATTTGTGGTCATTTTTATCTGAGGGTCTGTACTCAGAGTTGTTGGGTTTGGATCAGTGATGGAAAAGAGAAAATATATTTGTTACTGTTGCTATTTAAAACAGAGTAGTGTTTTGTTTTTTACGCGTATCTCCCAGTTTCTGACATACACTTCGCTGGACCAGAATTGTTATCTCTGTTAAAAGAAATCACTACCTGTGGGCGAAACTGAGCTCTCTTAGTAAAATGCATCAAATGTGTTTCAGTTCTTAGTAAGATGAAATCCACACGTAACGTTTCAAAGCAAGGAATCTGGCAATGACCTCGCCGATTCTTGTAAGAAATACGATTTGAACCTTAGGTGTATATAAACTGCTTCCATGGACAAGAATCTTCCTTCAGAAGCTGATAGTCGTTTAAGTTTTCTGTGTCGCGGGACACGGCATTGCGAAATGTTTTATAAGTCCATAAATCTTTCCGAAATCCCCTTTTTATTTTATAGTAAGAGCACATTTTAGTTTTTGCTTTTATTTCAGATTAGATATTTAT